ATACCTACTTAAGAACTTTGCAACCCCTAATTTTGGGAGAAATTGCAGAGAACTAGTAAATTCAATATCATTGGATTTTAAATTATTATGAAAATTATTATACAAAAATTATTTTACAAAAATCCAATTACAAAGAATCCTAGAATAATTTAACATGAAAAACAATTTGCTTTAATAAATAATAAACTTCAATAATAGATCAGTCATTTCTGAGTCGTTCCTCCAACTATTAGCCTGAACATGCCACGAACTAAAATAGAAATGACTTTGGAAAATTGAGCTTTTCACTGTACGATACTAATCATGCTAGTAAACAAATCAAACAAAAATTAAGTAGAAGAGAGTCGTTTACGTGGTTGTCAAACATTTTACTTTATCGTAATATTTGAACATTAGTTATCCCTTCATCGGATAGAAACTACAGTTTATATCAGTCAATCCAATCAAGATTCCACGTATCTTGATGCAAACCTGATTCTGTATAATCAGCAAAAGCGTTAGGAAAGAGCATCCCACATTCTTCGATTACCTCGAAATCTCTCAAATAATTTTGCATATTAATTAAAGTGGGCGATGTATCATAAATCGCTTCTACTTTCCCTTGTCGAAGGACAAGGATTAGAAAAATTGCGCAATCGTTGCCGTAAAAACTTAGATTACCAAGAATCAATCATGAAATTTTGATTTACTTTCACGTTTTATGACAGAAACACAGCATATTATACAAATATAGTTGAACGTCGATTATCAGACCAACTCTATTATCACTGTTATCATAATCATCAGAAAGTTAACCAACAAGGTTCGCATGGGAAAAATATTTATAATGAACAATGTTGCAAATTTATCGCTTTAGACTAAAATATTTATTCTTTTAAATGGACCACTTTAGATTCAAATATTTATAAGGAATAATGTTGTAAAGGATCACTTTAGATTGAAATATTTACAATGAATAATTTTTCAAAGGATCATTTTAGATTTAAATATTTGCAATAAATAATGCAAT